GGCTCTGGTCATGATCTTGCAGTTCAAGAGTTAGAGCCCTGCATCAGGCTCTGCACCGACAGTGTGGAGCCTTCTTGGGATATGCGCGCGCGCGCGCACACACACACACACACACACAAATAAACTTTAAGAAAAAAAAAGTGAACTTACCTGACTTTAGCCTACATGTCAACATCAGATCTGATATCCATCAAATTAGGCAGCAGTTAGCACTAATGCCATTGTCCACACGTTGTCATGCCCCAGAACATGTTCTGTGTCTCCAGTTTGCTGTGTGTGCTGCTGCCTCAGGGAGCCTGGCAGCCCTCACCCCTGGCCCCACTGCTCTGGCTCCTTCTCTCCTGGCATCCATATGTAGCTCCCAGAGAACTTTCCTGAGTTCTTTGGGTAGTCTTTACTTTTCCTTCGCATGTGATCCTCTGCTCAGGACTAAGGCTCAGATGCATCCTGTGCTTATCGATTTATTTTAGGTCGAACCTTTACGCAAAACTTCAAGCCTGTGGGTGTGGCTCCTGCAATTCAGTTCTCCTTCTGGCAGTTACAGGTTGTCTTAAAGATGGCGTCAAGCTCAGGTCTGTTTCAGTGTTCACGGTCGAGGTCTGGAGGTCCAGCTGCTAATACTCTTAGTTGTCTGGGAGGGCTGTGCTTCTGAGCTGTTTTCTAGGGAGTTTATTGTGAAGTATTGAGAAGAGAGGTGACACCTGTTGTTATCCCCAGGGTCCAGTGGAGGTCCTATGAAATTCAGTGAACATGGGAAACATAAGCATCTGCTACAGGCTTCTTTATACAGCATCTTTCAATGTAAAGATTTCTCAGAAACGAGGGGAGAAAAAAAGACACTCTAGTGACAACAGGGATAGCCTAGAACTATAAGAGATCTCGGAAAGCCACTTGTTTTTCCTCCAAATATTTGGTGGGATTTACATGTTTTCAAGTAATTGCTTGGATAGCCAATTTGGAGCATCCATTTTTTCCCCCCATCTTAATGGTGTCTACTGACCAATGGTATTCACTCAGATCCATCCCCATTTGATGATGAGTTTGTGTGAGCTGAGACCACATTGCTCTTTGCTGCACTTGAATGGTGGCTATGAGTTAGGGTTTCTTCAGCCCAGCTACCACACCAGAGCCTACTTGGGGCTCCCACGCCTAGCCCAGATCTCTATCTTTCTAGTCGTCCTCTGGTTGACAACGGTGTCCTCACGCTGCTTCCCCACTTCTTGGCTGTTGATCCAGATCAGAAGCAGGGCCAATATTTGTTCCCCTTGCTGATAAGCTGCAGTCTACTTGGGTTGATAATGAGCAGCCTGTGGTGCTTCTCTGTTCCTTCTGCCCGTAGCCTGCTCTGCCCAGGAAGCCACAGGAGCTGGTAGTAGTAGTGGGCCAGTGCCAGGAGGTCTGTGTTTTAAACTCACTTCCACGTTCCTGGGTTTTCTCCTCTGGAAGTGGGGTGATGGTTAATCTCTAGGAGTATATATTTTGTGCCATGCGCTCTAGAGGGACTGGAGACAGAGAGCAACGCGTCCTCCTGGCAGTGGATTTGTGAGCTGGATGTAGATGGCTGAGTATAGCCCTTACAAGCAATTCGTTTGCCAAACCTGTTTCCCAAACATTTGTTCT